GGGGGGGGGGGGGTCAGTGATTCACCAATGAAGAAGACAAGATCGGAATCACTCTGGAACATGCACCTTCAAAAAAGTCAGCGACTCAGCAGTGGCAACTTCCATAATTCTGTACTGACAGATTTATTTTTAAAAGGTATAAAACTGTATTTATACATTAACAGAAAAAATTTAAATTCTACGTAATATCATAAATGAATAAATACATACAATATTTGATGTGACATTTGCTGTTTAACCAGTTGACATCCGCGGTGTTAAACCCCCTTCCCATCCAGGCCATTTTTCAGTATTCAGCGCTGCGGTACTTTAACTGACATTTATTCCGTCATGCAGCGCTGTACTGAAATGAATTTTATACCCTTTTTTGGGGACAGATAGAGCTTTCTTTTGGTGGTATTTATTCACCACTGGGGGTTTTATTTTTTTACTATATTAAGGAAAAATTACCGAAATTTAAAAAAAAAAAACAGTTTCCCCTATATTAAATGATAAAACATTTATTATTACCCAATTTTTTGGTAAAATATAAAAGATGGGGTCACGTCGGGTAAAAAGACACTAAACATGTCAAGCCTTAAAATTGCGTGCGCGCGCGAAACCTCAAAAAACGATAATACCCAAAATTGGCCCTAGGCGACGCTTTAAAAGCTGTTACCGCTCATCAGTTTAGTGTTATCAGTGATTGATGGCCCTAAAATGATTGCTCTCACTGCGACGTTCGCGGCGATATGTAACATGTGTAGCGCAATTGTAATTTTTGCGCGCTGGGGCACCGGACGCGTATTTACGTTTATAGGCGCGTAAACGTGGGGGTGGGGGAGTTAAACATTTTGGGGGGGTTTTTTCCCCTTTTTTTATATGTGGCTTTTATTTTATTTTATTTTTTTATGTGTTACTTTTCTTTTTTTTTATTTATATATTTTTTTTTGCACTTATTGTTATTGCTATTATATAGGGGGATAACAACCCCCTATATAATAGCAAAGGCACACTGACAGGTCCTCTTTATGGAGATATTAGGGGTTGGGGTTGGGACTTGCCGCGAACGAGCACATATAGGCGATCGGCGGGCATTGGACGGGTCTTTTCTGCCCGTGCGTGCCCGCTAGGGGGCGCGCGCGAGCAGAAAAAAATTGCCGTCTGGAGACGACAACCCGCAGATGCTGCAGTGCCGTCCGTCCGTTTTTTTACTACGGGCGGACGGCAAGAGGTTAATAACCAGTTTTCTATAAGGCCTTGTTCACCAAGTGCAGAGCAGATCTGCATGAGTTTCTGCACACGCAGTGCAGTGGGTTGTGCCGCGTTTTTGATGCGTTCCGGGCTGTTTTTGGTTAAACATTTTTTTAAATTATTTTAAAATGGGCTTTCAGTGCGTTCCAGGCATTTGCATGCGTTTTTGATGCGTTTGCATGCATTCCAGAGCAGGTAAAATAGGGCCTGCTGCAGTTGTTTTTACCTGCTCTGGACCTGCACGCTGCGATGTGAACTGGAGCTAAAAATACCATTGGAATACATTGGATGCAGTTTTGCTCCGGTCTGTAACTGCTCTGCACCTGCTCCGCGCTTGGTGTGAACAAGGCCTAAATAGTATGCGCTGCATTTTTCATACATCAATAAAAACAGCAGTGTAGCAGTAGATTTCGATGTCAGGACTTCAACACTGGGGTCTTTTGGCGTAGAAAGGGCTGGCCTTACATGCAGATTATCCCAGCACAGGAGAGAGGAGTATGAAAACAAGGGGTTAAGTTTACATAAGTGAGGGTTAGTGTTAGGGTTATAGGGGAGGGTTAGTGTCAGCATTTGTGTACAGAGGTGGTTAGTAAAAGAATGACCCTAGGGTAAGTTTTCACTCTATGAGCACCAATTTGCTGGCAGTGCATGCTAATGAAAAAAAATACCTGTTGGGAAAAGCCGTGCTCAAGGGTTGATTCTAGAGGAAATGGCTTCAATGGTTTTCTGCAGAATTTGCACAGTTCCTTCCCAGACCTCTCCTTAAGAATCTAAGACAGCAGACAAACATATCCTTTAATAATACATTTTTACATGTTCCATAATAAGTTGACGATGAAAGATGTAGAAACATCTTCAAAATTCTACCTTGAGGGCCCATTCACACCATGTTCAGATCAGATCCAGAGCGTTACATTTTTCTTGCGCACCAAAAATGCATCCCAATGTATTTCTATGGGATTTCTGGCCTCTGTTCACACCAGTGTAGTCCGTTACGGTGCACTGGAACGTGTCAGAACGTGCAGAGAATCATCAAAAATGCACCGGAACGCAACAGAATGAATATAAAGGAGGGGGCCTTGGATAAATAACACATATTTGAATAGACATGCAAGTGAATGAAAAAAACTTTTCTGGATGTGCCCGCAAGTCCTCGTATAAAGTCCAAAACTGACCCTTCGATTCTCTTAGCTTCAAGGGTGGGTGCACCCAAAAATGATGTCACCTGCAAGCACATTGTCTCAAGATTGCAATAGCCATCACAAAGAACATGCCTGTATACAAATAAAACATGTCTGTTCACCAGCTTACTCACACAAACAAAGGGAAGTGCTACGAAATGAAGCAAAAAGTAGACATGAAATTTCGAAAATTCGGATGTATCCGAATTACAGATATAACGAATGTAAACAAATCCAAATTTCAGAATCCGAAATTCGTTAGCGGTAGTCTGTACGAATCTGTTTTTGTTGGACGAAATTTAGTTGCAGCAAAGTGACATTTGAGAAAACCCCCCCCCCCCTTTTTTTTCCTCTTAAATGCCACTTTGCTGCAACGAACGAAACAGAAACAAAATGAAATTGAAACTAATTTTCGTACAGACTACCGCTAACGAATTTCGTCCGAATCAGATTTCCGAAACAAATTGACTTTCGGACCCGAATTCCGAAAAACGAAATAGCGCAAAATCCGAATCAAAACGGAACAATTTTTTTGCTGGTGCACATGTTTGGCAGAAAGTAACTTCAGAGAATAATCTGCAAAATGACAGTCCAAAAAAGCACTGGAACGCATCAAAAACACATCACAAACACGTCACAAATGTACCACACCGCGTTTGCGGAAACGTGTTCAGATCTGATCCGGACATGGTGTGACTGGGCCCTAGAGCAGAAGCCACTATTGTAATATACTGCTTCACTATAGCATCTATTATGTTGTCTAACAAGGAAGAAGACCAACATTTTCTAAAGTGTCCCACACAGGAACAAATACTGTGCGCTAAATTGGATGTGGTAGTATGTGTAACTACACTCTGGACATGTCCACTGTGAGAAAGTATAGTTAGAAGCAATCAATTTCCGTGCATGTGATCTCAGCTCCTTGGAATGTACAATATGCATACTAACTTGCTCAAAGAACATGCAAAGCTTGTAGAAAGAGGAAACAGAAATGATATCCACACTGCATTCTGTGTAAAATTAGTATATTGAGTATGTCTGAAAACTATTTCTTCAAGTACAGTATTAAAAATGCTTGCTTTGCAATCTCAAACAGCTGCCGGCATAAATTTAAAGGAGAAGTAAATTGTACTCTTCCTAATACTTCGAGCTGTCGATCCGTTGTGTGACACTGCAGGTGTCACATGCCAGCTTTTTATATATCGAGAGCTGAACAATCACAAACCACTGATCGCTCAGCTCAGGGGCGGACGGGCCGGGGGGCAATTGCCCTCCAGGCCTCTCCGATGCCGTGACGAACGGCCCCTTGACCCCTGCTGCCACCTGCACCCGGCCGCCCGCCCGCCGCATCCAATGCGGCTCTGTGATTAATGTTCACGGCTTCACACACACCGCGTGCCGCACCTGCTCACGCCTGCCACTGCCAGACCTGCCCACCCACATCAATGCTCCACACGCTGCACCTCCTCCCCGCCTCACGCTTGCCGCTACCAGACCCGCACCTCCTCCCCGCCTCATGCTTGCCACTGCCAGACCCACCAGGCGTGAGGGAATGACAGCCTCCAACAAACAAAAACCCACCAGCCCGCATCCACACGCCGCACCTCCTCCCCGTCTCACGCTTTCCGCTGCTCCACCCGCCCGCTCGCATCCATGCTGCACACGCCACACCTCCTCCCCGCCTCATTCTTGTCGCTGCCATGCATTGGGCTGTATAGAGGACTACAAATCCCAGCAATAGTACATTATAGCTGGCGGTATTCTGCATTGCGCTGTATAATGTACTATTGCTGGGATTTGTAGTCCTCTATAGCTGATGGCATTCTGCATTGCGCTGTATAATGTACTATTGCTGGGATTTGTAGTCCTCTATAGCTGATGGCATTCTGCATTGCGCTGTATAATGTACTATTGCTGGGATTTGTAGTCCTCTATCGCCGGTGCCATTGTGCATTGATTGCTGTATAATTTCACACTTTCCATTTCACTATATTGCACACCACATTTTTTTTTCTTACTTCCACCGCTCCAAGCTTGCTCCTGTGATCATCTGCAATCTCAATACAAACTAGTAGTCCATCACTGGAGCCATCTGTTTTTATCCCGATTAACCGGTTAATTGAACTTAATAATCGGTTAACGAATCGATTTTGAAAATAATAGTTAGCTGCAGCTCTAGATGAATGGTCACCCTACACCAGGGATCCCCCACTAACCACCAGGGAGCCCCCACTGGCCACAGTGGAGCCCCCACTACCCACCTGGGAGCTACCACATAGCCACCACTAATTATTAATCCACTACCAGTGTGCTTTAAATTTCCTAAACTGATAAATACATTCACACTACTGTTACATGGATGGCAAAAGTGGCAGACAGGGGCGGGGGAAGAGGCAGAGCGGGAGGGGGGCCAAGTTGCTGCACCATGGGCCTCTGGGTTGTACTTGCCCCCTGGGCTAAAAGTTGCCAGTAAGCCCCTGGTTCAGCTCATGGTCTTCTCCCTGCAGAGAACGTTGAGTGTCAGATACCGCGCCCCGCAGGGATTCCCTCCTTCCTTTTTCTGTTTCTCCAGTGCTAAATGGAGGGACAGACAGACGAGGGGACGTGCACAACTGGCCCTGGCTCTAGAGAGGCAGGGCCAGCTTTCAATCAGACAGCGGAGTGGATCTTGACAATATTGTCGGGATCTTTCCCGGCTGCAGCGCAACTCTGCACTGTCAGCAAAGGCACGAGAAGTAGCCCGCTAGAAGCTAACTTTGGTTTGCAGGGGTACATTGACCCAAAAGAGGACTAAAGCTAAAAAAATTAGAGGTGCACCAAAATGAAAATTTCAACACGAAACCGAAATGAAAAAAATGTCAGTCCTCAATCTCTTTTTCTGCAGCCCCTGTTATAAATGAACAGGAAGCCTCTATACTGAGTGTTCCTGTTCCTTCATAACTTGTGGAGATAGTATGCTTACCATGTCCACAATCATGAATGAACAGGAAGTTGTGTAGATCACTCCCATTCATTCATAATTGGGGACACAGTAAACATACTATGACCTCAATTATTTACAAACACTCAGCGGTCACTAATCGCTGAGTGCTTGTACCAGCTCTCCATCCTGACTCGCAGTCACAGGAGGATGAGCGAGTAGTGCGGGGAGGAGAGCTCGATCTCCTCTGACAGCTGACTCCTCCCTGACACCACCGGACCAGCCTCTTGTGACAGCTGTCTCCACCCCCACGCCGCTCTCCTGATCTGTCACAGGAGAAGAGACGTTGGCCGCTCACAGCGTTCTCCTCCTGCAGCACCGCTCGGCCTCCTGCAAGAGTTTCTCTCCTCCATGCTGGAGGCTAAGCTGTGACAGAGGGGACGCAGAGTAGCGCCCAGCGGAGAAAAGAGAAAGCAGGGATGCCCCACTATTTCGGGCAAAAGATTTCGGCATTTTGAGTGCCAAAGTTCCATTTTGGCCGATATTTCGATATTTCCCTAAAAAAATGTTTAGTTTTAGTTCTCTTTTAATATACTTTATCCAAATGTCTTGCTATCTGCTGCCTACATAATTTATTCAACAATTTATGTGTCAGAAAGCAATGGGAAGTAGGACTAGGGCTTAAGATTTAGAATCCAGCAGCAGTCCTCCTTCAACTTGGGTAACGTCAGTGGCCCCAAGAGTAGTCTAAAAAATGTAAAAAGGATGAAAGTGCCACGGCACTAGTGTGATCCAGTTGATTTTTTGGAGGACATGATAAAAGAACATGGTTCTGATCTCTGCGTGTTCTGTTATCATGTACAAAACCAATCAACTAGAAGAATTACCTTTTCTGTGTTAGGAGGTCCCCTGTGCTTGTGGGTCCTGTGCAATTACAAAAGAAGTGACACAATACCCAGTATGCTCTAATAAATAAAATGACTCTGATGGTGACTGCAGTGCACACTCTGTCAAAACAAAGCTTTACTAATTCATTACATATATGGCAGCGTTCGATACAAAGCAGAACTGGCATACATTCTGAGGAAACAGACCTTCATCATAGCCAGTATCCGATCATCTTCAGAAGATTCCCGCTTGTACGCCAGTACAGTTGGAGGTCCAACACTAGGCAAGGTTTCCAAATGTTTCTCAAAGTGTGTCTTGTACTCATCACTGAACTGTAGAAAAAAAAGAAAAGAGGTGATTACTTGTGATAAGCTCATGTGAAGTAAAAGAAGGGTATTAAACCAGTTTACCTCCATTTCACACAGAACGCTAAGCTCACTCAGGTCTTCAGATAACGAAGCGTATAAATCTGCAGACAATACAGAGTATTACTGCTTTCAGTTTTATATCACTTTATGAAAAAATACAACTGAAATTAAAAATGTTTCAAGAGAATATATTATCAAGTGTACAAATAATACTCTCTGTGGCCTAATGCATGCAAAGAGTCAAAATACAAGGCCAATTAGAGCATACATTAATATTGTGTATTATTATGTACTATTAGTATAATACAGGTCATAAGTCAATGTAAATCAGATAATCAAAACAAATCAACAAATTAAAAACATACCACATTTGTGAATGGCATGCTTATTTAGCCAGCTTGCTTCAGTTTGGAGTGAGACTGAGATTCCCAAAGATGGATCCATGCTGCCTGCCCTAAGATCACACACACAATATATGGTATTGAGAACAACAAAAACTGCAAAACAAACAGATTCCACAACAACAAAAACTAGTACAGAATTTATTGGATGGTTATGGATAAAACATTAAAGCATAACTCCAGGGGAAAAAGTGATTTTGTACCATTGCTTTGTAGAAATAAATTACCCCTAATGATGGGTGTCACATGTGTGGCTGGCTGCAGTGTTAGGTAAAACTCATACTTTCATTCATCCCCGCAACTACTGAGCCAACTTCTGGAGCTGTAAATCACAGTTCAGTTTCTCATACAGTCAAGAAAAGTTCTGCTCGCTCTCCCCCTTTCCTATCCCTTACTTCCCCTTCATGCCATTCATAAAGTGTCTTGTATTCCTTCACAAGACATTCTGTGATTGGGCAAGGGGAGGTCCTGACCTTTATCCACCCCTCTTCTCCCCTTGTCTAATAGCAGAATTTCTTGTATTCTATGAAAAGCATAAAAGACATTTTGTGAATAAAGGGGAGAGACCAAACTGTGATTTTCAGCACTGGAAGTTCGGAGCTGACAGTAACAAAAGTATGAATTTGCTCTAACGCTGCAGCCAGCCACATATGTGCCAGTCATCATTAGCTTATGCTGGAGATTCTTTGGAGGCACAGGGGGGACATTATACCTTATCTTGTGGTCCTGCCCTGGCATATCATCATGTATATTGGGGCTTCCAATCCAAGGTGTAGAAAAGAATTCCAGAAAGCTGCCCTTCTACATCCTCACAGCAACACATTGCTTAATCACTACTAAATGGAAACAGACATCTCTGCCTTCTATACATGATCTACTAAATTGGATCAAAGACGTGCAATCAATGGAAACTTAATAACTTGTGTATACAACACAGTTGAAAAATGTAATGCTGTGTAGCAAGCTTGACCTGATTTAAAAACACATGCTAACATTCTCTTATAGCCTCACTATGGCTGTGAGCACTGGGTGAATCTTATCTACACTCCATTTTTTCCTCTCCTTTTTACTACTTTTCTTCCCCTTGATGTCTCTTTTTTCCTCCTCTAGCTCTATCAGGACTATGATGTTGTTAGTCCTCCGTGCACCAGCAAGCTCAGTTGCCAAAAGGTCACATGATGGACTGATTTCCTCTACAGTCCTTTTCACTTTCTTAATTTGCAGATTTAGGCTGGGTTCACACCTAGGAGTATCGAATATGCGCGTTTGTCGCGCGTTTGGTGACGTGCGTTTTTACAGCTACTTGGCTGATGGCGTGACCAGATAGTTGTAGGCAAAAATTCAGTATTTTGGCTTGTTACATGTTCATCTTATTGATATGCTAGAAGTTTTATAAAGTGACACTAAACTCAGGAGATAAATCTTATAAATGCATTGAAGTACCTTAAAGGATAATTAAAGCCTATGGTTTTTTTGCATATATCTACTGCTAGCAGATCGGAGAGCCACCTCAGCACTGGAGGGACAGATGAAAAGGACAAGAAAGAAGAAGATCGGATTAAGAGACATCATTTACGGTAAGTGCTGACATTAACATTGGGGGGAGGGAAAAACATTTTTGACTTTAATGTCACTTCAACTATTAACAGAAATGTATCTTATTTGTGTTTCACTTGGTTGTAAATCCTCAAATCTTCTTTGAATTGGTGCTGACACTGTCCTTCCTTCTGGAGGGTGGCTACTTTTGCTCCCCATGGTCCCCGTGTGTAGCCACCGCTCCAAGCTTACTCCTGTGATGGACTACAATCTCATGTTTAGTTTACCAATTTGTATTGAGATTGTAGTCCATCATGGGGCATCAATACAATTCCAATAACATTGTACTTCTCAATGCAGTTCTCAAACCCAAAAAGAAATATGCATTTCTTCCACTAGGGGCACTGTTGAGGAAAGGCTCCAGTTTAGTTAGCTTGTGGGCTCTATCTTGTACTTCCTACAGTTGGAAGATTGTTGGTATGATAGTAGATGATAGTTTGTGTCCTCTCAAGCCTTAATTGACAGGTAAGAGGGTACATTAGTCTGACAAATTAGTTTATCTTTATAACCTTTAAATGATTCCTAAAAATGTTCTACACCATCACAGTATAATGTTTACCTATAGCCTGGTCAGTAAATATTTTTTTTCCTCCTCTCAGTAAAATGGTTAGACCAACACAAAAGGGTGAAGAGTTTGGAGAAAGCAGGAGACGTGAACAATGTAGGACAACATAGCTGAACTGGAAAAATCCTGCAATTCAGTTCACTTTCCAGCTCAGCTATGTTGTCCTAGATTGTTCACTTCTCCTGCCTCCTCCAAACTCTTCACCCTTTAGGCCCGGTTCACACCTGGGCGTTTGGAAAGCTTTCCTACGCTCTGCAAAACGCTCAAACACCGAAATCCTATTATTTCCTATAGGTATGGTTCACACCTGGGCGTATTACAGGCCGTATGAACGCGCTACAAAACGCCCTACACCCAAATAAGTACAGGAGCTTCTTTGGGGCGTATTTGCCGCGCGTATCCATTGGAATACAGCTATGTAGCCCTCGGAAACACGCATTTTTTAAAACCGCGAATCGCTGTAAAAATGCGCAACACGAAACGCGCAACAAACGCGCATATTTGATACGCCTAGGTGTGAACCCAGCCTTAGTGAATAACCCTGTTAGAGTTTGGAAACATTTCCACATTGCAACTTCTGCTGAGAGCAAAGCTGCAATTTGCAAATATGCTCTTGCTTGTTTTGTTGCTTTTGAGGGAAAGGGGGTGGTTACCTGTTCTCATGCATAGTTGTAATGCTATTAACATATTATTATTATTATTACTAGGGATGCACCGATACCACTTTAAGACCGAGTACGAGTACCGATACTTTTGATCAAGTACTCGCCGATACCAATTACCGATACTTTTTCTTAAAGGCCCCGGTCAAATTTTTTCTAAAGCAATACAAACTAATGATTTTAGGTCAGTTTCTTAATATTATGATTCATAAGATGACGAGGGAGCATGACGCCGGCTTCACGGCCAATCAGAATGCCGGGCGCTGCGTCATTACACGGCACCTGGCTTCCAGATTGGCTAGCTTTTTGACCAATCGGGAAGCCGGGCAGCGCGTCATTACACGCTAACCGGTTTCCTGATTTCCCGGGAAGTCGGCTCCATGCTCTCTCATCACAAGTGACGAGAGAGCATGGAGCAGTTTCCCGGCCAATAAGGAAACCGGGCAGCGTGTAATGACAAGCTGCCCGGCTTCCTGATACAGGAAGTACTCGTGCTAGGTATTGGAGCATTTGGGCGAGTACGAGTACTCACCCAAATACTCGGTATCGGCACCGATACCGATACTAGTATCGCTATCGGTGCATCCCTAATTATTACTATTATACAGGATTTATATAGCGCCAACAGTTTGCACAGCGCTTCACAATATAAGGAAGACATTACAACAATCACAATACAATTCAAGACAAGATGGTAAGGAGGGCATACAGTGCATGTCATTCCATTTGTAATACAAATTTATATTTTAAAAAGCAAGTTTCGTTTATTTACTTAATAAGCTGTACTTTTATTTCAAGCATAATACTTTTACAGTATATACACTGCATTTCACGTTCCTATTGTAACAAAATGACTTCCGGGTGAAAATAAAGAGAAAAAAAGAAAATTAATTCAGTCACCTCAACTAAAAACAGCTACCTGCAATATATTACACTTGTATTCTTTACACTTTAACTATATTGATTGAACATTGTAACTAATAATTGCTAAATAGGCCAACAGTCTATGTGGCTTGAATCACAGTCATATATGTAAAACATAGTAGGCAGAGCAGATTGGGTCAGAAGCATTGCATCTGGTGCATTAGGCGTTTGTAGATATGCAGTGCCGCCATCCGGGGGGTACGGCCATCACAAATGTGAGGGGCCCAGGCGGCTATTGGGGGCCCGTTCTCTGACTGAGCAATTTCTTACTATATATTAATATATACAGGGAAGTTGGTACAGTCCCGGGCCCCCCCTGTACAGTTGGTACGTTCCGTCTGTGCAGGAAGGGTTTTTTTCTTCCTGCACAGAGCAAGGCATCCAGGAGAGGAGCACAACTGCTGGACTGTTAAGGTAATTTTTTTTTTTAAGCAGCTGCAGAGAGAGGGGGTGTTTAGAGACACACACTAAGGTGGTGGAAAGAGGGGGGGCCGTTTGCAGAGACACTGTGTGTTTTTTTACTTTTTAAATTAAAGAGGACAGCAGCCAGTGCCCAAGGTTGAATAGGGCCCGACGCTGTGGGTGGGTGGCCTTTGTCACCATAAGAGAAGGGGTTCACTAAGCCCAGCGTCCAGCGCATCACGAAGCCCAGAGTCCAGCAGGTCACTAAGGGTTAGTTCACACCATAAGCAGTGCGTTCTGGTCTGATTCTGGCCGGAAAGGATCGCAAGTCACATCGTGCCTGCAGTGCGTTTGGGTGCGGTGCGATCAAAATAATGCCTGCAGCATTTTTTTCGCACCGCACCCGAACGCACTGCAGTCACAATGTGCTTTGCAATCCCGTGCAGGCCATCGCATTGCGGCCGGAGGGTGTGGCTACAGTGCTATTCACTTCAATGGCCCGTCACGCCCCCTCCAGCCCGGCAAAAAAGTGAGTTGTTCGCAATGCGGGCAGTGCGTTCTGGCCTGAATCGGGCCGGAACGCACTACTTATGGTGTGAACTAAGCCCTGCGTCCAGTAGACATGTGCGATTCAATTCGGAAAAATTAGTTTTTCGGACGAAAATCGTTAGCAGTAGATTGTGGACGAATTTTCATTGCAGCACTGTGACAATTAAAAAAAAAAAATGCTATGAAACAGAAATGAACATTCGTACAGACTACCGCTAACTAATTTCATCTGAATCCCGAAAAAAGAAATAACGCAAAATCCGAATCAAACCAAAGTGAAACTAAACGCATTTCTTGCCAGTGCACATGTCTAGTGTCCAGCGGGTAATGTGATTGTGAGGGGACATTAGAGTGTGAGCTCTTCTGTACAGAGACTGATGTGACTGTGGGGGAGGGGACATTAGAGTGTAAGCTCCTCTGTACAGAGACGGATGTGACTGTGGGAGGACATCAGAGTGTAAGATCCTCTGTACAGAGACTGATGTGACTGTGGAGGAGGGGGCATTCGAGTGTAAGCTCTTCTCTACAGAGATTGATATGACTGGGAGGGAGGGGACATTAGAGTGTAAGCTCCTCTGTACAGAGACTGATGTGACTGTGGGGGTGGACATTAGAGTGTAAGCTCCTCTGTAGAGACTGATGTGACTGTGGGGGGGTCATTAGAGTGTAAGCTCCTCTGTACAGAGACCGATGTGACCAGGGCTGCAACAACTATTCGACTAAGTCGATTAAAATCGATGATGGAAAATGTTGTCAACGTTTTCCATCACCGATTAGTCGGCTTTCGATTAGTTGCCCCTGTTCGCGGCTCCACACGTGTCGCACCTCAAGTCGGCTTTCGATTAGTTGCCCCTGTTCGCGGCTCCCCACGTGTCGCACCTCCTCTCCGCCTCTCCCAACTCTGTGCTCTCTCCCGCCGCTGCCCGCCAAGATGATCACGTTGTTGCAGGGAGACTGCAGTGTGGGGAAATGAGAGCTGCCGACAATCCCAAGATCTCGGAAGAAAGTAAAGTTGCTTGAAGAGTGTGCAGGTAAGACTACCATCCCCCCCCCACATGCTGTATAAATGTATTAATGAGATTTGTAGTCCTCTATAGCTGGTGGTATTCTGCATTGCGCTGTATAATGTATTACTGGGATTTCTAGTCTTCTACAGCCGATGCCATTCTGCATTGATTGCTGTATACTTTTACACTTTCCATTTCACTATATTGCACACCACACTTTTTTAGCCCAAGATTTCTGATGGCTGCCCTGTAGATATGACTGCTGTACTACGCATAATGTAAGTGGTACAGGCAGTCCCCGGGTTATGAACAAGATAGGGACTGTAGGTTTGTTCTTAAAGGGATATTAAACCCTCCGGTTTTGTTGCATATATCTACTGCTAGCAAAAAGTGTTAAAAAAACCGCTTTAAAAGAGGTTAATACTTACCTGTGTCTTCCCCGCACGCTCCCGCCTGAAAATGTGAACATTCTCGGGCGGCCACAAAGCATCTTGGGGCAGGCGCATGCGCAGTTCACATTGTTGGCCAGGAGGCGAGGAGACACACAAGGTAAGTCTATGAACGCGTGCACCCGCATGCAGACACCGTGGGACAGGAAGTGCCAGCAAGGACAGAGGAGTCAGCGCTGGATCGGAGACCCGCAGCAGCGCTGGAGGGACAGATGAAAAGGACAGGAAAGAAGAAGAAGATCGGATGAAGAAAAATAATTTAAGGTAAGTGCTAACATTATTATTATTGTGGGGAGGGAAAAACATTTTCGACTTTAATGTCACTTTAAGTTGAATTTGTATGCAAGTTGGAATATGTATATTTCTTAAGTGTAACTCCAGCCCCCCCAATCTTTTTTTCGTTTTGGATAGCATAGCGAAGGGTTAACCCCCCTGTAAAGTTTGTTTTGCTGTGTGTGCTCCTGCTCAGAAGATTTCACCTCACTTTCTGTCCCTGTGACAATTGGATTTTGAACATTTTGGGTTGTCGTGGAAACAAGGATTGGTGATAAAGCTTCAGTGGAGACACCTTTTTCCCATGATAACTCTTACAGGAGTGAATTTCCCTTCCTAGGGGTAGATTTTCTCTCACTTCCTGTTGTCTCAAGGACAGGAAGTGAGATTAAATCTTTCTAATGAGGATACAGATAGCAGTAAAAACCTCACAGTGACTCAGAAGAAGAGGCGGGCACCACTCATATGCACATCTAACAAGAGCCAACTTCCTGTAATGTACATACAGTACTACGAACCAGACCCAAAAAGGTGGGCACTCCTTGTTGGCACGAGTGTGGTAGCATTACATCTACTGAAATGCTGCGCCAGTACACATTGGCTGCAGCCTGGGGCCCCCTGCTGTACAGTTATAGCCTCCATTTGTAAGTAGAAGTTGTATTTAAGTCGGATGTTTGTAACTTGGGGACTGCCTATATAGTAAAAGATATCAGGAAAGGTTTCATCGGGATTATTTTGCAGTGCTCTTACTGATTCTGGTCTGGCTTCTGGTCGGCACTTGGCAACTGTCCTTCTCTTTTTACTGTTTTCATCACTTTGGGAAAAAGCGATGGTCCTAAAATGAAATAAATTAAACAATAAAATAAACAAAGATATACAGTATATATATATATATATATAAAATAGACATTTTAAAATGGCATGCATGTAGATACATTCACTGCTGACCTCTCCTTCTTAAAATGCTAGATACTTGGCTTTATGTCAGATCATAATCCAGATCTCATTTATTCTGATTTCACTTGCTGCATGCTTGGTCTGGGTCAGTGCCTCAGAAAATCCTGAATTTGGAGACATCCAAGCAACAGCAATAGTGACCTTAACATTCCAACATTTCCTATACACTTATAAGTCTAACTTAGAGAAGTCTAAATGTAAGTCTGCCTTTCTGACACCCCATTCACCCTTGCGATATTGCATATCGCTCGTTTGTCGCGCTATTGTCATTTGCGCGATATTGCGCATTTTTCCGCGCAATATCGCGCAAATGTTCGTATTGGGCTGAGTACAATCACGCGACATCCGCGCCAAAAAAGGGTCCTGCGACAGCGACGAGCTACATGGAGCTGTAAATGGGAACAGCTCCATTGACGTGCATTAGACTTAGTACACAGAGCGATATCGCGTGGAAATATGCGCGATTTTGCAGCGTAAATCCGCATGATAAACCGCTCAGCATGAACGGGGCCTTATGGATATTGTAAGGAAGTAGTGAAATCATCAGCTTTGTAAATATCAGTATTAAAAAAGTATGAATTTTGTCGTTTTCATAATACCCCTACAGCCTTTTGATATTAAAATATTAGGATTTGGCTTGTTGCCATGAGGGAAAAGTAATAACAGATGTCAGCAGTTCTCTGTACTTATCTATGGCATGTTTGCATAGGCCCAGTATGTTATGGGTCTTTACTTCCACCATTGAAACAATTTAAAGCTGCAAAAAAATAAAATAATGCTTAAATAAGAGTCTGAAAGAACTGTCTATATTTTCCCTGTGTTATATATTCATAAATGTAATGTGCCATGAAAAATGACAGTTGGATAGTAAGGAAAGGAAATTGTGAAGCAACACAGACAGTTCCTAATGCATACACTTTTACAAATGAACACATTGAGTACAGTGAGTACATGTGGCAGAGTAAGATGTATATTATTGGGCAAGATAGTTAAGTCCATAAACAGAAAGATATTGTTACAACATTCAGCTAATGGTTGGACTGCATCAGAAGAGATTTAATTTGATATAGGTGCCTACAAACATTAGAGAACATTGAACCAGTGAGCACTGCAGGAGATCGACACTCATGGAAGTGTCCATTTTACAGCAGACTCTGTTGTTACTGGATGGTGCACAATCAGTGGGCGAGGGTATTGGTGTAGAGTGGGGCTGCTAAGAGCCGGTGTTATATCAAACATTGTGACTAGGTTGGAATGTGTGACACATTTTAACGTAATCATGCCCAGTTTTTCGGTGGTGGAATGTGTGACGGTCAATAGGTAAAAGAATTCCAACATTCTCTCAGCTGCTTCAGTGTAGATCGGCATTGCAGATTGTATATGCAGGAGAACCGATCTGCCCTGGAACAGCTGATTGTTCCTAAAATGTCACTTCTATCCGACTTTGTGGAATGTAAGATCGCGCTCACAAAGTCGGATAGAAGTGACATTTCAGGAACGATCAGCTGTTCCGGGGCAGATCGGCTCTCCTGCATATACGATCTGCGATGCCGATCTGTCCTGGAACAGCTGACAAAGCCTTGGAATGCTTGACCTATTGGTGGTCACACATTCTACCACCGAACAACTGGGCGGGATTAAGGTAAAATATGTGGAACCACCTCGACTGCAGTGCGGCTCTGAGCTGTCAGCATATAGTGGACAATAGCCCGCTATATGCCAAGCTTTAGGTCACAGTTTAGGACAATACATTAGTACTGTATATGTCCTCTTGTGACCCTAAAGACAACTATGGCAAAAAAAAGGTTGGTCTATAGTTCTCTTTTAATGTAATGGTAATTGCTAGGGTCATGTTAAGGTTAAGGTAATGGGTTTCACATCAGAGCATGGTTGGATGCAATTTTCCTTTGAAATCCTTGTGCCAAACAACAGCTATGCCAGAATACTAATATTCAGAATGTTTTTTACCGAAGCATTATTACAATGTTAATAGTTGTACACAAGGGTTTACCGGTTTTAAAAGTGCCTCTTCATATCGGAGTAGAACTTAAATTTTCAGTACAGCATTTGCAAATATAAACGCTTTTGTTTGAGTTTCACATAGCACAAAAACAGATATTCAAGGAGACTTTACATAAGGTACTTGTATGTTATCAAGTGGCAGAATTCTATTATTACAGATGCCACTTGGCTTGAGCTAAATTCAATGATGAAGAAATAATTGTAAGAGACAACAGAGAGGCTCTAGGTTACTATATTGAAGGTCAGCAAAGGCCACTCATTTTGTGTGCATGCTTAGCTAAGACAGCCTGTCATATGTGCAGGACGTGT